TCTTGTAACTGACTTTCAGTCAGACTTAACAGTCTAAACTATGAGCTAAGTATTTATTATAACATAAGACTTAAAAGGCTGATTTCTGTAGCAAGAATTTGAAAAATGCTCACTATTTTTCCTTGAATTTTACAGATACTTCAGAAAGGGACACCTGTTAACCTAAGTGATCCTGTAAGTACAGTCTACTCTTACTAACACCTGTGAATAAATCCAACAGTTGCAGTCCCTGCAGTTTTTGTAGGATACGCACTTGTTCTTTTGCTATTTGCTAGGGAAATCTTGGCAAGACGTCTTACATATCTGCAAGAATTTATTCCGAAAGTGTTACATGCACATGGTGTGGCACTCCTTGACCACAATGAATGTGACACAATTGTTTAGTGGAGAATCTTCATTCTATACCATGTTTTGCAATTTTGCATCAAAAAAGTCTTCCAAAAACAAGCTTGTATTTCGCCTCTCCAATCAGCAGAAGCACATTGTCCTTTGTTGACAAAATGATGCAAGGAATCCTCTTCCATCTTTCCTATTTGTTCTTTCGTGAAGCTTTTGGGTACATGGCAAAACAATGAGAACAACAACGTTTGCACCATTTGCATTTCTTTTGCCGTTTCGTATAGCTGATATATCAGATTTTCCTCAAAGCCAGTTGGCAAAATTGCAGCAACGTCTTTCGGCGGAAGAAGATGAACGCAGCTTCTTTCTGTTCATCTTTGAGTGAAGAAACGTTGAAATTTCTCTCAACAGGATTCTATTTTAAAAACAACCACCCCATTACGAATCACAGCACATGTCAGTGATGACAANCAGTTTTTGTAGGATACGCACTTGTTCTTTTGCTATTTGCTAGGGAAATCTTGGCAAGACGTCTTACATACCTGCGAGAATTTATTCCGAAAGTGTTACATGCACATGGTGTGGCACTCATTGACCACAAGGAACGTGACACAATTGTTTAGCGGAGAATCTTCATTCTATACCATGTTTTGCAATTTTGCATCAAAAAAGTCTTCCAAAACAAGCTTGTATTTCGCCTCTCCAATCAGCAGAAGCGCATTGTCCTTTGTTGACAAAATGTTGCAAGGAATCCTCTTCCATCTCTTCTATTTGTTCTTTTGTGAAGCTTTTGGGTACATGGCAAAACAATGAGAACAACAACATTTGCACCATTTGCATTTCTTTTGCCGTTTCGTATAGTTGATATATCAGACTTTCCTCAAAGCCGTTTGGCAAAATTGCAACAACATCTTTTGGCAGAAGAAGATGAATGCAGCTTCTTTCTGTTCATCTTTGAGCGAAGAAACGTTGAAATTTCTCTCAACAGGATTCTATTTTAAAAACAACCGCCCCATTACAAGTCACAGCACATGTCAGTGATGACAACTGCTGCGAGCCCCAAAACGCACCTGGACGCAATCATGATTGACCGTTGCCAAGGTGATGACACCTTTGTCGCCTTTCAACTAATGGGAATTTTCTGTTTTTCACTTATTTCCAAAGATCTCTACAGCTGTCTGCTATCAAGTCAAGTCTTCCATTTTGCACTGGCGTCCAGTAGTTCTTTTGTGATTCTATCGGTGCTTGCAATGATCAAATAAAAATACAAGAAAATGGAGGGCTGTAAACAGTCAAA